ATGAAGGGATGAAATGGGCTAGCTGGGGAACTTCAGATTTGAGCTCAACTCCTAGAACCTCTGTGGTAGAGGTCTATAGAGGCTTCTCAACCCCGCAGAAAGTCCAGTGACCCTAAAAATCAGAACCCTATCTCTAAAATAAATGATAATCTCTGATTTGCTCATTCTCTGGGCTCTCTGCACATCCAGGAAGGATTATGGAGGTCTCTTTGTTTCCCAGCCCTCCCTGTACTTACCAGGCAGAGGAGGACTGGACTTTCAGAATAATGCCTTCTAGAATTTGCTTTTACTCATTTGCTGGGGCTGGTGAGCTCATATTAGTGTTTTGATCCCCTGTATTGAGATGCTGGGCATTGAGGTTGGTGAAGAGATGTGAGAGTTGCTGCCCAGGGTCTGAACCTTCCTTTCTTTGCTCTTAGAAGAGGACAGGGAGGCTGATAAAAGGGGAGGAGATTTCCCATGCCAGGATCAGTGTGAAAAGGCCATCCCAGCTCACATTCATATTAAAAAAAAGTTCCCCTCCCATAATGTAAGAGTTAGACTCAAGCATTTACCAACCCAGCACAGAGTCCATTTCACCAGGGACTTTTGTTCCACAGAAAGGGTCCAGAGGGAGGAATGGCCGGGACACACAACTATCAAAAATGTGAAATAAATCAAATCGGAGGCATTTCTCTGATGACCCGACATCCCAGAGGAGAGCTCTGTTCTCATTTTACCCCATTTGGCTTCCGTCTCCTCCAAAATTCTTAACAGTCTAAAGACTTGTTCTGTGTCCGAGCTTCTATCTGTTCCTCCGTGGCTGGAAAATGGAAAAACACCAGAATACTTCAAAGACATCAACAAGCAGGCAGAGCTGCACAAGACTGAATGTACCATCCGACCCAGCCAATCACAGAGTCTTGGAAACCAACAGGGAGCCAGCAGAGGAGAAACCCGGGCCAAATCCACAGCATCCTGTTTAAACCTCTACCATCCATCATTGTGACGTGCCGGTGACTAAGTATTTGCTGAATGCTGGCCTGACTGGAGACTGTCCATAAGGTGGGCTGTCAGGGGGGCTCAGTGGCAGCTGCAAGGGCACTAGTGTGGCACTAACCCCCTGCCTCGCTGCATCTGATACGTGAAATAATAGCCCCTTGAAGGTGTCCATGTCCATGCCCCTCAACCTTGAATACGAAAAAGGAAACATGACTCAGATGGTGGAACCTTGTGATTAAAGTTAAGGACTTTTGGATAGGGCGATACAAAGTGGGCCCAATCTAATCAAGAGTCCTTAAAAGGGAAGAGGAAAGCAGAAGTTTCACCATGAGACAGACCGACTCTCCGTTGCCTGCTGTGAAGATGCTGAAAGGCGGCTATGAGCCAAGGAATGCAGTGGCCCCTCGGAGCAGAGGAGGGCCCCTTCTAGGCAATGAGAAAACAGTGACCGTGGTCCTACAACCAGAGGAACTGGATTCTATCAACATCTCAGAAAAAGTAGGGAACCAATTCTCCCTTAAAGACTCCAGAAAGAAACACAGCCTAAGGATGCCTTGATTCTCTTCCAGGGAAGCTTCGGACCCATAGAATTGTAATAGATTAATACATTTGATTTCTTTAAGCCAGTGGTCGGCAAACTCATTCGTCAACAGAGCCAAATATCAACAGTACAACTATTGAAATTTCTTTTGAGAGCCAGATTTTTTAAACTGAAACTTCTTCTAATGCCACTTCTTCAAAATAGACTCTCCCAGGCCATGGTATTTTGTGGAAGAGCCACAGTCAAAGGGTCAAAGAGCTGCATGTGGCTCTAAGCCATTAAATCTGTGGTAACTTGTGATATGGTAGCATTAGAAAACCAATATGACTGTGTGATCCTAAATAATACCTTTTTTCAAACTGGGCCTTAGTTTCCTGTCAGTCAACTGAAAAGGATGGACAAAGTGATCTAACTCTAAGAGTCTGGCTGGCTCTCAAAGACTGCCTCTGCTCCCCTGACATTCACCTCCCCGAGAACCCTGCCCCAAGTCCCGGACCTCTTCATTTGAAACCATTAAGGAAAAAATGGAAAGGAGTCATGGGGAGAAAAGATTAATCTTTAAAAAGCCCTAAGGAGTCTCAAGAGGCAACTGGGCACTCAGAAGGAGATTCGGTACTTACTTGACTGTCCCGCAGGGGAATGAAGTGGGAAGACTGGGAGAGCAAGATAAAAGCTTCACAGTCAACTGGTAGAGGTTGTCCAGAGCACTGAGTTCAGAAGGATTTCCTAGCCTAGCAGGTGTAGCTCAGTGGCACTGAGTTCAGAAGGATTTCCTAGCCTAGCAGGTGTAGCTCAGTGGTTGGGAATCTACCTATGAACCAGGGGGTCATGGTTCAATTCTCAGTCAGGGTATATGTCCAGGTTGTGGGCTCGATCCCAATGCAGGGCATGCGGGAGGCAGCTGATCAATGATTATCTCTCATCATGGATGTTTCTCTCCCTCTCCCTTTCTTAATCAATAAAAAAAAGAGAAGGATTTCCTGGCCTTGTGGGGGTTATGTACAAGGTCCTGATTATCAATGTTTGCCTGGGGCCCGGGATGGGGGAGTAGGAACATGTGTGTCAGATATGTGTCATCAATAATTGAAACAAAACTAGTTTAGTTTTGTCTGTCTTTCCTTCTCTCTCTTCCATTTCATTTCCCCTGATCCTACATAATGGGTCACCAGCAATTCACATGTCCAATTGCCCAGTCAAAGGCCAAATCAGCTCAAATACGGAAGCTATATCTATACACAGCTAAGCAACTTAAAGCAACATGGTTTCGTACTGAATCTGGTTTGCTTTTGTCCAATGTGTCAGGCAGCTATAACTCTGACTTGTTCCCCTTTCTGGCCACCTAACTTCTGGAAATACACCATTCTCACTTGACACTCCTTGTCTATTCCTGTGAGTTGTAAGGTACCAGGGTCCCTAGTAATTCACTAGTCCAGTGGCTGTAATTTAACTTCCCCCCAGGTCACCCTGCAAGTAAGTGACCGAGGCAAGATCTAACCTTATAGCCCCCAATTTCAATGCAATTAAGAATATGGGCCCTGGAGCCACACTGCCTGGTACAGCTCTGCCACTTAGTTCCTGAGTGACTGTGGGCGCGTGACATACTCTCTCTGGACGTATGGATGTAATGATGGTCTCTACCTCATAGGATTGAAGTAGACTAAATGAATTACTCCATATAAAATGCTTAGAATAATGTCTAGCTCATAGCACTCCATAAGTGCCAAGTTTGACTACATCATTCATCTTACCTGGCCAATCAGGGTGGGGGCCTGCAGGGTGTGGTAATATCAACATTTGCTCCTATAAACTGTGAGTGTGAGTATGTACATTTGTCTATTTTTGATACTACAGTCAATAGCGGCAGTGTAAGATCAACTCAGATAAAGATCCTCTTTCCTTGGAGATGTTTCCTGTGTAGATTTCATCCATGGAGAGGAAACCGAAGTGCAGAGAAGGATGAGCATACGGCTGGGGAAAGCTGGGAGCTGTGACTGCCTCTTTACCCCTCGGTCTGTCACCCCTGGGCTCAGAATACAACCCGACCACGTCAGGCCCATCCCTCCTGCCCCGGCTCTCATCCATTTTATGTCTCTCACAGCTCAGTGATTCTCAGGTTGTGCTAAAAAGGGGGAATCCTCCAGGCCTTTTATGCAATGGAGCCCACAGTCCTGGTGCCTGAGAGGTCAGTGTTGGGAAAATTTGATGAGCATGACTTGTAACCTCCCACAGCATGATTCACGGCCCGGGGCAGCTGGAAACAGGAGGTCCCTGCTGGTGCAGAGAAGCGCTTGTCCTCGGCCTTTTCAGTTGTGACTGCAAACGTGCATGCTGTCCTGAGCTCAGACGGGCTTTCCTGAATGTGCTCAGAGAGTGGCTAAGTGGCCTTCATAACCCAAAGAGCACGTGATGCAACCACAACTGCCCATCTGTTTAACTCCCACTTCCTCATCCGACAGATGGGAAGGTGCCGTGCAGACAGTGGAAGGTAGCTCTGAGCGCCTCCTGACCCCCCAGGAACTGTTCTTTCCACCTCCACCCCCCACTCTTGACCCCATTCAGGCACCCACACCCCTTCCTGACTCCGTGGGCACTGCAGTGGTAGCACAGTTTGTGGCAGATGTGCATTGAATCTCTGATACTTGAATGACTGAGCCACTTTTACACCTGCAGTCTAGCGCTTTGAGGAATCTATAGACAGGGGGGAATGTGTGAGCCCACGGGGCTAGGGGGACCGGCGCTGTCAGGAAGCACCCAGAGGAGCTGCAGGGGACGCCCTGGTACCGTCCCTGTGAGTAAGCCCAGCCTGGCTGTTCCTTCAGCATCAGAACCTCTGCCCGGGAACAGGTTCCTATGGCTCCTCTCATTCTTCCCCTCAGTAAACAGTATTGTGCCAGGCCCCATGCCAGGTGCTGAGGATGTCTCAGGGATGCGCCTAGAGAGAGAGTCCCTACCCTCAAGGAATTTGTCGAAGGGACACGGATGCAAGGGAACCGGCCACCGGAACAACCAAGTCCCCACGCAGGCAAGAAGCTGAGGAGGGAAGGAGGGAGCCTGAAAGGAAGCCTTCTCCCCAAGATGTTTGCACACCCCTCTCTCCGGACTCCTGTAACGCAAAGGCTCTTTCCTCCCAGGGCGGCCACCCACCACCCCTGACTCCAAACTCCCAGCGCCTTCCGCGGAGGGCGGTAAGGAGGAGGGGAGTCGGGGCTGTGAGACAAAGGGGACCGACCCCCGGACACAAGCCTGTCTTCTGGGAGGCTGGAGCTCACCGCCCGAGGTCTGGCCTCCCCTGGGGCCCAAGATCGCGTGTGTGTCAGGAAGGCAGCTGGAACTTAGGATGAGCGGAGGAAAAAGGGGAAATGCTCAAGTGGGGGAACGAGGGAGCGGAGAAGAGAGAAGAGGGGAGTTGGGAGGGCACTGGGACAGGGGCAGCGTGAGGACCGGAGCCCCACGCACAACCCCCGACGGCTCCACTCACCGGGTCCGCACGGCTGCCTTCAAAACGCGCGGCCGCCGCAGCTGGATGGCCGGGAGTCTGGGTCTGAGAAAGTTCCTGGGACAGGAGCGGCCCCAGTCTTCCCTGAGTGCCCGCAGCGGGACGCGGCCCGGGCCCTGGATCTCTGCGCTGGGGAGGCAGGCGCGCGGAGGTGGCGGCAGCAGCGGCTGGGACGCGGCTGGCAGCGGACACTCCAATCTACAGGCTCAGGAATTCACGGCCGCCAGGGACCGCCCCCGGAAAGCCGGCCCGCCCCCGCTCAGCTCCTCCCCTTGCTCCCCATGCTCCCCAGGCTGCGGGTGAGAAATGAGCCAGCCCCAAACAGGACAGTGAGGAGTTCCCGGTGCCCCTCGCAGCCTCGTCACGCAACAGCCTTGTGGCCCTGAGAGTTACTTGTCCCGTGTGTGTGTGTGTGTGTGTGTGTGTGTGTGTGTGTGTGTGTGTGTGTGGCCGGAGGGGTGTCTGCTCTCTGTATTGTATGTAGCCCTATAGGGCTGACCCAAAATGTGTCCTCCCAGAGCCTTCCAGGTGTGTAGGCAGAGCAGGGAGAAGCCCATGGATTCGGATGGAGGAACCGGACTCGGAGCTGCTGCTTTGCAATGTGCTGAGTGTAGGATCCTCAACAAGAAACTTCGCCTTGTGGACTTCCCTTCTCAGTAAAGTGAAGGTACCAGCGACTGTCTCCCACCCCTGTTGAAAGGATTGGCCTAGAGCAGCGATTTCAACCATTTTCATCTCACGACACATGAATTACTAACATTCGGTGGCACACCAAATATGTTATATGTTGACACAAAAAAAAGGTATAATTTTTATTCTTTCGTACTGGATGGCTATTGTGCTGACTGTCGTCATTCGTTTATTTGACAAGGGAAAGGGGCCAGGGCCCTTGAATAAACAGTCAGATATTGCATGCTTTAAACATTCCGGCTGAACATTGCTGACTGAGAGGATCAGGGGAAAGGAAGCTGGTTGGTTGTCTGCTGTAACATATCTCTGACATCCTGTTTATTTTCTGATAACAGTGAAATAGCCCAATCTAAGGTGATCAAAGGCCCATTAGAGCTTAGCCTCAGAGAGGCCCGCCTCGTCCTACTGGTCCCCGCCCAGCCTCCACACAGGGAAAGCCAGCGCTTCCATCTCCTGCCCCTTCCTTTGTCCTGTGTGGAGGCGGGGACTAGTAGGGCATGGCAGGACTGTGGGTCCTATCTCAGCACCCACAAATGGTAATTCAGGTGTCCAGTGTTCACCAGGCTTACTCTCCTGAAAAGCAGGAGCATGTTCAAAATAAAAGGGGAAATTGAAGAGCATCTCATCCAAAATGCCTCCTTTTATAGATGGAAAATCTAAACCGAGGCTCAGGAAAGTGGAGCGATTCCCCAAGGTCACCAGACTAGGACTGTCTGATTACAGAGCTTAAACTCTAAACACTAATGATTTGGGGCAGGGTCTGATTTTATCAAGGCCTGAAGTTCAGAACTCTGGGACCATGTAAAGGGCCCTAAGCCGACAGGAAACAGCGCTAAACCATGCCCTCTTGCCCTGGTTCTATCAGCAGTTTGTCGTGTGACTCCAAAAATGAAAAGAAGGGAGTTGAATTAGCTGTTCTCTGAAGTCACTTATACTTCCAAAGAGCGAAGGCTCAAGGATCTTAAGATTATTAGTTTTTAGTTAAAAGCAGTCTGTGTGAGGTGATCTATCTTGTTCCACTGATGGACAGGTTCTGGCTGAGATATCAGCTCCCTCCTTACAGACCCATAGACAGCTCAGTTCTCCCCGAGAAGGCAGGCACTGAGACTCCCCTTTCTCTCTCCCTCCCTTCTTCCCCTTCCCCTGGAGAAATTCCTGAGGTTCTTTTTGCTCTACATATCCTTGGCCAAAATACCTCTATTCTTTGAGGAAGCCCTGCTTGCTTGCTAACTCTCAAAAGAAATATGCTTTTAGTTTGAAAACTGATGTAGGAAATTTTATTTTTAATTACATCTTTTAAAATTGTAGCTGAAAGACCTAATGGAGCTAATGATTGGGCAAGGAGGTAAAATGGTGGAATTTTCCAAACATGTGGAATTTGAGATAAAACAAACTGAGCAGACAGGAAGAAAGAAAGGGAAATGGAAGGGTTGCATTTTCTGGCTTTGAAGTGGAGCGACAGTCATGCAGTCTCATTAGTGCGGTTATAATTATTTGAATCCATTCTCATGGCTTCATTCCAAAGTGTTCAATTATTACAGTCATGTAGCTGAGAGACAAAAGATTGCCTATTACTGGCAGATACCGTCAGTCCAATCAGTCTAATTTTTGAAGTAAATGTGGTCTCAAGAAAAAATATACTGGGTGGGGAAAAAGTCTTATGGAAAATAACTCAATAAATAATAATACAAGAATAAACTCTGTGTTTCATGTACTCAGAACTGTGAACCCTTTTGCCCCACCCTGTATAATAAAAGCCTCTGCCTTAAAAAAGAAAACAAACAAACAAACAAAAACCCGAAACCAGTTTGTCTCAGTGGATAGAGTGTCAGCCTGCGGACTGAAAGGTCTCAGGTTCGATTCCAGTCAAGGGCATGTACCTTGATTGCAGGCACATCCCCAGTAGGGGGTGTGCAGGAGGCAGCTGATCAATGACTCTCTCTCATTGATGTTTCTGGCTCTCTGTCCCTCTCTCTTCCTCTCTGTAAAAAAAATCAATAAAATATATTTTAAATAAATAAGTAAATAAGATTTCCTTTAAAAACACTTCTTGAGCATCTAACATGTAAAGTGTTTCACGTACATCATAGCATTTAGTCCTTGCTACAATTCTATAGTGAAAATATTATTAACCCCCATTTTATACATGAGAACAAAGAGGCCCCAAAAAGATCAGTTAAATTGTGTAAGATTAGCTAGCTAGTAAGTGGCACAACTGATTCTAAATGTTCTACACCTAACTGATGCCTACTGAACCAAGTCCTCTCTGCGCCTCTGTCTTTTACTCTATGAAATGGGGTGATTCCTGCCCTAGCTAGTGCACAATGCAAAAATCCAGAAGCACAAGCAGACCATTAGATGCACGACTGTGATAGACAGTAGATGACAATAATTGTGGGAATCAAGAGGAAAAATTGTTTTGACATCTACACAGTGACACTAAATTTAGATTGTCGGTAAATATTACTTATTTACTTTAAATATGAAAGCAAGTTTCTTTGTCCCTCCAGATTCACCCTCCACACACTTCTCCCTCCTGCTTTGTGCATGGGGTGGTATCACCTCTAACCCCATCAAGGAGCCCTGTGGCAGGCACGGTCAATGCTTGTCCAAATTCCTTGGACCTCAGCTCTCTCCAGATTTCCAACTGCCAAGATCTGCATCTTTGTGTCTGAGGACTGTCCCCAGACCCACAAGAAGGCCAGTCTGCCAGTCTGGCAATCCAGAAGAACCCAAGAAATAACCCAACCCCAGGAGCAGCCCTCAACCAGACACCAGGGGTATAAATGTTCCAAAGCCCTCACTTTTTAGAGGAATTAGTCTGGGGCACATGCTTACATTGTTTCCCAGAGTTTCTCTGTGGGACTAAACTCCTATTATAGCTGGCTTAGTAACACAATCTTATTGGTCACCTCTTTCCTGAATCACTCCCTCACTCCTCTACTCATCTACTCTGAACTTCTTATATGAGTTTTCTCTCAAATAGACTTTCATTTAAACATAGTCTTCTTCTGAGGGAACACAGACTAAAATAACTTCCCTAAGGTCTGGCTTCCTGTTGGGTTCAGCTAAGAGGGAAGTGCCAGCAAGAGCTGAGACATGATGCATTTGTACCCTCCACTCCCGGGGCTGCCAGTGCCTGGCTCTGTCCTAGATCCAAAGGTCCGGCTCCTGTCAGGGGCCCTCTTCACACAGTTCTCTCTCTTCTGGTTCCAGGAAGCGCTCCCTCCCTTGACACTTTTAGGCAATAAGCAGCATCCACCTTCACTATCCTGGGATACTGCAGTATTCCTTGTGATCGCTCTCCACCCACTCAATAATCCCTTTATTAAACCTTTCTCAAATTCTGATGTTAGCCCACCATCTGTTCCTATTGGTATCACCAGTGATTCAGCAGGTTTGACAACTTCTGGATCTGGTCTCAGATAGTTGGTGATGAGGATATATGGAGGGTACACAGGTGACCACAAGAATGGTGGAGGGAGCAGAGATGGAGAGACAAGTGCATAGTGCAACAAAGGTTAACTGGTAAGGGAAGGTGGGTATATATATATATTGCTGTGTAACAAAGTATCTCAAAATTTAGCAGCTTAAAGCACACATTGATGACCTCAGTCTAGGGGTCAGGGGCCAGGAGTCAGGAGCTGCTTACCAAGGTAGTACTGGCTCAGGGTCTCTCATGAGATTGCAGTCAGGCTGCCAGCTGGTTCTGTACTCAATACTTGACTGGAGCTGAGAATCCACTTGTAAGCATATGTACTAGTTGTTGGCAGACCTCAATCCTCACTGGCTATTGCTGGAGGCTTTAGTTCCCTGCAACGTGGCCACAGAGCTGCCCAAAAACAAGCACCCAACCCAGGAACTATAGACTTGTATAATCTCGGATGTGTTTTATACTACTACTTCTGTTGTATGCTATGGGTCACAACCCTGGTGTAATGTGGAAGGAGTGTACATAGGGGTAGGAATACCACTGAGAGCAGATGTGGAGGCTGGCTTGCACAGGTGCTCAAGAGTAACAACATATCCCATTGAGCTTCCTTCCCTGTGAGGGCAGAAAGATCTTCAGATGAGGCACAGACAGCTCAAAGTCTAAAAGAGCTTCCCAGAAATGAACTGTAAGAGGCACCCAAGATGGGAGAGTAGGAAAGACTGGAAATTCCAATCATTCATATATATATATATGAAATTAGCCAGGTGTCACGACTGGCTTAGGAGGAGCTGCATGCCACCCCCAGCCCCAGCCGACACACACCAGGGGTGGGGGCGTTTTCCACCCCCAGTGGGTGGCGGCAGCAGCTGGAGCGAAGCAGCCACAGTCCCAGATGCCTGGCAGCGGCCTGGGTGCCTGGCAGCAGCTGGAGCAAAGCAGCCCGGGAACTGGGTGCTAAAGGGAAGCCAGTGGCTGCACCAGGAAAAGGAAGGCCTATTCTTGCACAAATCTTCGTGCATTGGGCCTCTCGTCCAAACATAATAAAAGAAACCAATTTAGCCAAGACCTGTTTGGCTC